CAAGTTTATAGAACCGTCCTGCTCTAATGTGATCCAGGATGGATTAAAAACAGATAAAGTAACAAGCAGAGAAACACTTCTGGGTTTAGTGTCACATCTTACAGCTTACTGTAGAAAATCAGGAGGGTTTTTATGTTTTCTTAAAAGTTCCTCCTGGATTATTTTCACCCTCCTGGATGAAGGCGACACTGAGGAGCAGAAGGACTGAAACATGTAGTGTGACCTGACTGGAACCTCTTTGAACTGGACCAAACACTGAAATGTCTGAAACACCCGTCCTGGAATCAGTTAGTGTCATTGACGATGACGATCACCATGTGCTCCTCATCCAGACTACCCACAGTCCTCTTGGCCGCCTGCAGGAACTGCTGTGAGAACTCCCCTGAAGGGAAGGCGTACAGCATGGCGCCCGGACCGCTTTCCTTGGCGGCAGGCAGACTCACAACGCCGGCGGCCTCTTTGTTGCGCAGGTAGGTCACCAGGTGTTGGAGCAGACGGACCTGCAGCCCTGGCTTCAGCCCCGGGGGCTGGCGGTCCACGGGGCCCTGCAGGGCGAGGAGGATGGCGAAACCGTCTGGGCGGCCGAGCTTGATGCGGCGCATCACCTCGTCAAGCCGTTGTGTTAAGCCTCTGCTTCTACCCTACCTGATGTTAATGCTATCAGTCTTCTCCTGAGCTATTTAGAGGCAATCCGGAGTAATGTTGGGCTGTTCTTACCCAGTGTGAGATCCATTTTGAAATGCAGCCTTTCGTGTTTCCCTCCAATAGTCAAGGTAGCTTATGTAAACTCTTATCTTATAATATCTTAGCTGCAACAGTGCAGCCTGTAGAGTGGAAGCTTTTACTCTTTTACCACTTTTCTCTCCTGTTCAGCTAAAGCTGAGAAACCTCTAAAACCTGCAGGACAGTGGCCCTCAAGGATCAACTTTGGGGATGCCTGGTATAAGGGACCAACATAAATTTAGACAGGGAATCAAGGAGTCAAAAAGGCATTTAAATCAGATTTATTCTGCCATTTCTTTTAAATAAATATAGTGTATAAAAGCATAGTGGTAAAAGCTTCACGGAGAGCTCAGGCCAAAATAACAAACAATCAACAATGATCACTGGTTGCGTTAGGTTTCTACCCTTCCGGTAGTTCAGCCAGCTGCAAGCCTCAGTCCCTATCCTCACCAGGTCAGTTCATTCAGTTTCTGTAAACACCTCCTTGACCAACAGTTAGCACCATCCACCAGAAAACTCAATTTAGGTCCACTTGTCACACCCCACGCCATTAGAGCTCCCCATATACCTGAGTCAGACCTCTGGAGCTTCGTTTATGGGGAGAGGGAAGATATTTTCCCTTTCCTGCCATCTCCATCAGCTTCCCGCCAGCCAGATCCCGGTTCAGAGCCCGTTAGCTTTCCTGTTTCTCTAGCTTCAGAGCCCGGTAGTGTTCCAGTTTCTATAACCTTAGAGCCTGTTAGCATTCCTGAGCCTGCTCTGAGCCGTCCAGAGACCCGTGAGCCTGCTCTGTGCCCTCCAGATACCCCTGAGCCTGCTCTGTGCCTTCCAGAGACCCCTGAGCCTGCTCTGTGCCGTCAAGAGACCCCTGAGCCTGCTCTGTGCCCTCCAGAGACCCTCGAGCCAGCTTTCAAAAAGGCTTCAGAGTTTGGGGTATGTTGAAGTACGCCTCCAAGAGCCTCTCAGCGGGCGCGCCAAGCCCCCATGAGCCCTCTGAGGGCGCTCCAAGCCTCCACATCCCTCTGCGGGCACTCCAAGCCTCCAAAAGACCTCTGCAGGCGCTCGAAGAGCCCTCGGCGGGCGTTCCAAGCCCCCTCGGAGGCTGTACCTGAGCCGCAGTCGGCGGTCCCCTTTGAGCTTTTTCCTGAGTCGCAGTCGGCGGTCCCTTTTGAGCCTGTTCCTGAGCCGCAGTCGGCGGTCCTCTCTGAGTCTGTTCCTGAGCCGCAGTGGGCGGCCCCCTCAGAGCCTGTTCCTGAGCCCCAGTGGGCGGCCCCTTCCGAGTCTGTTCCTGAGCCGCAGTGGTCGGCCACCTCTGAGCCTGTTCCTGAGCTGCAGTCGGCGGTCCCCTCTGAGCCTGTTCCTGAGCCGCGGTCGGCGGTCCCCTCTGAGCCTGTTCCTGAGCCGTGGTCGGCGGCCCCCTCTGAACCTGTTCCTGAGCCGCAGTGGGCGGCCCCTTCCGAGTCTGTTCCTGAGCCGCAGTGGTCGGCCCCCTCTGAGCCTGTTCCTGAGCTGCAGTCGGCGGTCCCCTCTGAGCCTGTTCCTGAGCCGCGGTCGGCGGACCCCTCTGCGCCTGTTCCGGAGCCACAGTTGGCGGCCCCCTCTGATCCTGTTCCTGAGCCGCAGTCGGCGGCCCCCTCTGAGGCAGTTGTTGAGCCGCTGAAACGGAGGCGGTGTTCCCCTTGGGGCTACCTGCTGAAACAGAGGCGTCGTCCTCCTTCAAGGTCCCTGCAGCAACAGAGACGTCGTCCTCCTCCGAGGTCCCTGCAGCAACGTAGACGTCGTCCTCCTCTGAGGTTCCTGCAGTAACGGAGAAGTCGTCCTCCTCCGAGCTTCCTGCAGCAACGTAGACGTCGTCCTCCTCCGAGGTTCCTGCAGCAATGGAGACGTCGTCCTTCTTCGAGGTTCCTGCAGCAACGGAGACGTCATCCTCCTCCGAGGTTCCTGCAGCAACAGAGACGTCGTCCTCCTCTGAGGTTCCTGCAGGAACGTAGACGTCGTCCTCCTCCGAGGTTCCTGCAGCAACGGAGACGTCATCCTCCTCCGAGGTTCCTGCAGGAACGTAGACATCATCCTTCTTCGAGGTTCCTGCAGCAACGGAGACGTCGTCCTCCAGTGGCCCTCCTTCATCGCCGGCTCCCTCCAAAGACCCTCCTTCGTCGCCTGACCCACGGCCGACCGCCAGAGCGTCTGCCTCGCCTCCGGCCCCGCGGCCGGCCTCCTAAGACTCTGCCACGCCTCCGGCTCCGCGGCCGGCCTCCAGAGCATCTGCCAATCCTCCGGCCCCGCGGCCGGCCTCCAGAGTGTCTGCCTGGCCTCCGGCCGCGCGGCCAGCCTCCAGAGACTCTTCCTGTCCTCCGGCCCTGCGGCCAGCCTCCAGAGACTCTTCCTCGCCTCCGGCCCTACGGCCGGCCTCCAGAGACTCTCCCTCGTCCACCTCCGGAGACCTTTCGTTGCCCTCGCCCTCCCTGGGTGGGTTGTTTTTTGTTGTGGACTCTGTTTTTGTGTTCACTTGCCGTTCTTCGCATGGTTCCCCCTCCGCCCACCCTGGGTGGGTTGTTTTTTGTTTTTCTAGGACTTTTCTGGGGGCGTCTGGAATC